GCCCAGAGCACTGAGTGCCACGGCCAGGCCTGCCTGGGACACCTCCAGGGGTGGGGACTCCAAACCTCCCTGGGCAGCCCCTGCCAAGGCCTGACCACCCTTTCCATGAGGAAATTCCTCCTGATGTCCCACCTGAGCCTCCCCTGGCACAGCTGGAGGCCGTTCCCTCTCCTCCTGTCCCTGTTCCCTGGGAGCAGAGCCCGACCCCCCCCCGGCTCCCCCCTCCTGTCAGGGGGTTGTAAAGAGTAAGAAATCCCCCATGGTAAAGAAACATTGAGGAAATACCTAAGAAGGACTAATCCAGCACGATGGATTATCTGGAGCACGATGCACTTACTCTACATTCTGGTCCTGCTTTTCTGTGTTCGACAGTGCTCTGTTTATGCAACAGAATCTCCTGAATGGTAAAATCCACGGAGTATTTGATGTGCCCAGCTTTGCAAAGCCGTGGGAAGTGACCAGTGTACATTACACATCTAATTGGCAGGTTTTAATTTAAACTGGGAGGGATTTAATGTAATAGCATAGCTTTCCCCAGCTAACAGACCTCTTCTAGCCAGGTACTCATTATGTGGGATAGTCCACAGACTCTCATTTATGGGTTAGAAGCATTTTAAAATAGGCAGCTTAAACCAGCTCTCTCCGTTGCTTTAGATATTTGCAGATGTCTTTTGCTAAGCCATAACTAACTTCTTCATCATTAATTTTTGGGGCTGTACCTTGGAGACACTGCCTGGCAATTAAACAAAGTTCTTAGCAGAGAGTTTTCCCACCCTCATCCAGAAGTTTGCTGTTCTCCAGGACTGCAAAAAAAAAAAAAAAAAGGATTTTGTATCTTCTGGTTCCTGCAGGAAGAGCTGTTGTGCTGCTCAGAGCAAGAGAGTTCCTGTGGATCTCCTGCAAAGCCTGAGGACTTTACCCTCCTGCAGGACGCTCACTGGGAGGGAAGTTGGTGCCCTGAACTGGCAGAGAGCTGACCATGTCTTCTCCAGTTAAAGCTGCTCAGTTTGATAGGAAGCCCTGAGAAACCAAACACTGCCCACAGTTCACTGTCCTGCTTTACCCCAGGAGCAGCCAAGCCCCACACACTCCCTGGCTCCCTCCCTCCCACAGGGATGGAATGAGATGAAAGGCCAAAAGTATGAAAACTGGTGGGTTGAGATAAATAAACTCGTGGGTTGAGGTAAAGGCAGTTTAATAGGTTAACCCATAAGTGGATGGAGCTTCCAGGTGCTGGAAGATATGGAGCAGAGCAGAGCTCAGAGGGGACAACTTCCAAAGGAGGGGCAGAGGAGGGGCAGGACTGAGCTCTGCTCTGGGGGGAGCAGGGACAGCCCCCAGGGAATGGCTGGAGCTGTGTCAGGGCAGGCTCAGGGTGGATCTCAGCAAAAGGTTCTTCCCCCACAGGCTGGTTGGGCACTGAACAGGC